ACCGCTGTCTGTGTTTTTGTGATAATCAGCCCCACAGTTGAAAAAGAAAGGAGAAAATGTGAAAAAATAAATCAACTTCTACCCGAAGTCGAGCAAATAGAAAAAAAAAATACATAGTTCATAATAGAAAAGCTAGTGTGAGGATGGGTGTCTAAAGTGTAGAATAAAAAATGAACATTGTGCTCTTGGGTTAGCAAAAACATCCTTTATCTGGTTTTCATTTTAGATACTTTCTGATAGCATATAAGCATTTCACGCAATTTGCACTTTGCCTTTCGATGAGCATTTTGTATTCACGACTTGACTGACATTTACGTTCTGGATGTACTTCGGTTAGATATTCGGTTCATTGTCCGTGTTATATGGTTCTAGTTCTTGTTGCTTTTGACGTTGATCAAATTGATGTTGATGTTGATGTTGTTGCTCTCCGCTGTCCACTGTCCCGCTGTTCACTATCCGATATCGATTTTGATGACTAAAATTATATTCCCGTTAACTGGTCGATCGAACGCCTTAGTGCTGTCCGGTTGGCTCGATCGGCTGGCCCGGTCCTGGTCCAGGTGCCGGTACAGCCGGAGCGAATTGATGATGTTGAGTAGCATAATAGGTGGCCGGCATGCTGAACTGATTGGCATACGGATTGGTGCCGGGTGCGGCTGTAGTGGCCAACACACCACCGGCAGCATCGTACATATAGGTGGCAGCACCCGGTGCCACGGCCGCAGCCCGTCCGGCGGCTGCTGCAGCTACGGCAGCCACAGCCGCTATCGGTGGCGAATTGGCCGGAGTATAGTGCACCAGTGGTGTTGTTACGGTGGCCGGCGGCGGCGGAGCAGCGTACTGCTGCTGTTGCTGTTGTGGCTGCGGTGGTGCCTGGTTCTGCTGCTTTCCATCGTCCTTGGATGACTTTGACTGTTGCTGTTGCGACATCGGTTGTTGCTGCATCTGCTGCTGCTGCTGTTGCTGTTGTGGCTGATAGTGGTGCACACCGCCTCCACCCTGCTGTTGATAATCCCGTTTGGGATACTGCTGGAACCGTGGCGGCATGCCTCCAGCTCCGGCTCCTGGCGGTACGAATTGACCACGACCGCGATACCCCTGTGGCGCCATGAACGGAGATGGTCCGCCCTGCTGGGGACCCATATGCGGTTGGGGACCAACACCGCCAGCTCCACCGGAGCCACCGACAGCTCCACCGTTACCACCAGCTCCAACACCGCCGCCACCGCCCTGGTGGCCCATTATGGCACGTGGTCCTCCGTTATTGAACGGAGCACGAGGGCGATAAGCATTCCCGTTGCGCTGTTGTCCGTCCTGATGGTTCATTTGATGGTTCATGCGGTTCCAGTTGCCACCGCCGCCTCCAGCACCGTTCTGCTGATAGCTATTACCGCCTGCGTTGTACTGCTGATAGCCACCACCTTGCGGTGGTCCGCCGCGATTATTGTTATAACTATTGCCGGCCTGGTAGTTCAATGGATTGTTGTTGCGTTGCTGGTAGCCGCCGTTGCGATGGTCACCGCCTCCACCACCGGAATTGTTCCAGCGCTTGTTGCCGCGATAGCCGCCGGAGCTAGGAATCGAGCGAGCCAGATCGAGGAGCGCCTGCGAGGGCGTCTGGCCGGCTTCCTCCAGCACTGAGATAAGCTCACGGGCCTGCTTGGCATTGTCCGGGGTAAAGAATGTATAGGCGGTGCCCAGCTGCTGGCAGCGTCCAGTGCGACCGATGCGGTGCACATAGTTCTCCGACGAATTCGGATAATCGTAGTTGATCACGTACTGCAAGTCCTCGACGTCCAAGCCGCGCGAGGCCACGTCCGTGGCAATCAGAATGTTTGACTTGCCATTGCGGAAGTCCTTGAGCACCGAGTCGCGTTCATTCTGGGTCTTGTCGCCGTGTATGGAAGTGGCAGTGTAGCCTTCAGTACGTATGATCTGCAAGATGTCCTCCACCTGGACAATAATAATGATTAGAAAACTATGGAAAGGAAGAAAATAATCCAAATCTTACCTTAATTTTGGTTTCAACAAAGATAATAATCTTGTTGCCGTTGTTGGCAGCATTGTTGGTGGTGGGAGCGATCTCCTTTAGCAAACGCACCATGCGCTGCGGCTTCTCCATCTCGGTGCAGATCTCGACTATCTGGCGTATGTTGTGGTTGGCCGACAGGCTCATCGACCCAATGTTTATTTGAATGTAATCGTTTAAAAAGTCACCGGCAAGAGCCTGCACCTCCTTGGGCCAAGTGGCGGACCACATGACCACCTGACGATCTGGCCGGATCTGTTCAATGATCTTGCGAATCTGCGGCTCAAAGCCCATGTCCAGCATGCGATCGGCCTCGTCTAGCACCAAGTAGGTGCATCTTTGTAAATTAGTGTTGCGGTTCTCGAGGAAGTCAATCAGGCGTCCAGGAGTAGCGATGATCACCTCAACGCCGCGTTCCAAGTCACGGGCCTGCGGCACTTTCGACGACCCGCCAAAGATGCAAGTGTGTCGGATCTCTGGCTTGCACAGGTGGCCATAGTCTCTCACCACCGACTGGATCTGCTGAGCCAGCTCACGGGTGGGCGCCAGCACGAGAGCCACCGGTCCTTCACCGCGCAAGATTGGCGGCTGATTGCCAATGTGCACAATGGCCGGCAACATGTAGGCCAAAGTCTTGCCAGATCCAGTCTGGGCAATTCCGACCAGATCCCGGCCGCTCAAGGCGATGGGCCAGCCCTGCGACTGGATGGCTGTCGGCTTGGTGAAGCCCTGGCGTTTCATTTCATCAATGACGTGACTCGGCAGTGAGCACTCCTCAAAATTGGCCACCGGGTGCGGTAAGTCGCTTCCGGAAACGGTAATTTCCAGTTCACGGCGCATATCGGCCACCTGCTGTTCGGTCTTGGCCAGCGTATTGGGGTGGATTTTGTAGAAGTCCTTTTGGAACGGCTCCAAGTTAAGCCACACGGGCTTGACAAGATTACGGCCCGGGTTCTTGGCCTTCTCTCGTTGGATTTCGGCGCGTTCCTCCTTGGAAAGCATGCCCAAGGCGGCGGCGTTATAGTTGCCGCTCTGATAGCTGCCACCACCGCCGTTGTGCGGTTTCTGGTAGCGCTGTGCGTAGTTGGGGTTCTTGCCACGAGGTCCGCCGTAGCCACCCCCAGTACCACCGCTGCCTCCAGGGCCACCGTTACCGCCGCCCGGTCCAATGCCATTGCCGGCATAAGCGACACCGTTCTGCTGGCGGTACGGGTTTCCGCCGCCGGCCGATGGATTACCACCGGCCATACCGATTCCATTCTGGATGCCATAGGCCATTACACCGTAGGGCTGACCAAAGTGCATACCGCCAGCGGCTCCGGCTCCTGGAGGAGCCCCATTACCGGCACCGGCAAAATTATTGCGTGGATAGTAGGGGCGTTCGTGGCGCGGACCACCACCGCCACCCCCGCCGCCGCCAGCGCCGCCTTGGCCACCGTTTCCATAATAACCACCTCCTGTGTGTTGTTGAACGCCCCCGGCGTTGGGTGCATATGCTCCGGCGTACATCGCGTTAAATCCTGACTCCTAATCGGAAAGTGAAACGAAAATAGAAAAAAAAAACGAAACTGACGTGAAAATACTAATAGACGCACTCGCGTAGTACTTTGTACTTTATAAATAATTTAATTATTTTATTAGAATTTAGATTTTTTTGTTTCCGTTTTTTTGTGTGTTCGCGTTAGCTCTATCTCACCGAAAGTTATAGCTGCCGGGTTGGTGTGTAAATGTAAATGGACTAATGGATCGAATGGAAAAGGGTAGCCTACTTGGAAGCTAAATCGGAGCTCTGTTTTTGAAACACAAAAAATTTATGGATGTATGTATGTATGTGTAATAGATATATGTAATACCCAAGATATACATATATATGAATTTATACATATAAGTAAAGTATCGAAACCGGGTGGAGACCGTAACAAGAGTCGGAGGACACCCACCCACCACCGAAAAAATCAATACAGCATCGCACGGCCGAAAACGAGATGACGATAAAAGAGAACGGTGGGTGATAGCGAGAGCGGGTGGCCGCAAGCGGCGAAAAAGAGAGGCAAAGAGACAGAGCGTTTCCGAGAAAGGAAGCACCGCCGCCGCTCACACAATCACAAGATAATAATAAAAAAAAAAGAGAAAAAAAGAAATGCACTGTTTTTTCACGCCTCGAAGAAACTTACCTTTTTTCCTGTTGGCTGCCTTCTGTGTAAATTTTGAAGAGCCTGACTTGTTGTGTGGGCTTCAATTTATGTAGTTATGCCCTGCTACTGACATTTGCTGACAGCTCGATTTGGTCGGTTCAGAAGCCTCTTCGATTTTTCGATTTTCCTTTCCCTGACTCGCTCGGTCGTTTCGGTTTTCTTTTTCTAGCTCACTAAAAGCACGCCTCTTTTTTGCCGTGAATTGTTTGTTTGCCGTGACTTTACCTTTCCACGGAAAAGTAACCGTAAAGCTAACTAAAGTTTAGTTGGTTTAACTAATACTAATCTTGTATTTTAGGTATTTTATACAACAAAAAAAAACGCGTCTATAGTTCGCTGTGAAACCATCGACAGCGAAAACAGCGTTGCCAATCGCCGCAGAGCTGCCAGACATGGAGGAATTCAAGTTCCACCACTAAAGAAGCATGTCTGATATTTAACCGGGTAGAGATAGCGGTTAAAAAGCTCTATCAATTAAATCTTTAAATGATTGTACCAACTTTCTCAAGATGGATTTGCCAATAAATATTACTATCTATGGGTAAAATATGACTTAATATGGTCAATTTTCTTAACCCGCAAAACTTGGATCTAATTGGATATTTTGGCGCCATTTAGAATGGTTATATGGGAAATTCAAATTTTCTATAAAAATATTTCCATGTTTAATAGAAAAAATTGTTCATGGTCCTGATAGGCCAACTATAATCCATATACCAACATATGGAGAAACCCTTGATACCCACGAGTCGAATACTATTAAATAAAAAAAGTTGTTTCGTGTAGAAAGTGTTTAGTAAGGCATTAAATTAATATTTTAAGGTAATTTTTGTTTTAACTAGAAGTGTTTCTTTCGCCGTAAACACGAAACCAGGTGAATATCTTAAACAAGTGTATTTTAATAAAGAAATCTCTCATAGAACTCTGGAAGAAGGCTGCAGGGCCTTGGCAGCTATTTGCACAACGTTACTCAGCTTTATCTAATATCATATCACAAACACTAGTTGGCGGCTAGTCGCACCAAAAGTTTTCGCCGGTCCTCGTCTATGATAGCCAGGAATTTCTGCATCCGCTCGCTGTAGAAGTCATGACTCTTTGCCAATTGCAGACTCTGCAGTCGTTCCGACCGTCTGAAGTCGTCTAGCTGCCATCGGTCGCGCTGATAGGCTAGAATGCTGGCCAGGAAATGCCAAAAAGTGATTTGGGGCCACAGGACATTGCTGAAGTAAAGCACTGAAGTGCTTAGCTGAAAAGCAGTAAGAATAACCGATAGAAAAAGTATATTTTAGGCTCCAACATTTTTAAAATTTCACCATGTACCACTTGGGGCACATCACTTTACCTGCCACATCATAAAGTCACTCAATCGGGTCTCGCCGGACGTTCGAAAAACCAGATCCGGAGGCGGAGAATGACGTGTATAAAGGCACTCTTCTATCAGCCGCTCGTTGATATCCTCCGGGCGCAGATCTTCAGAGGAGTGAAGCAGGACAGTTTCCACAGCCTGCGTAATCTCGTCCCGCGACGTGTAAGCAAAGGCCACGTTGAGGAAGAGCTTGTCATTCTGCTCGGTACTGAGCATCGCTGTTGCCACCAGTTTCTGGAGGTCTTTGGGAAGCAATCCAATGTTGCCAATAACACGAATGCGAATTCCATGCTCATTTAATCGGTCGGTCTCCTCCAGAAGCCGGGCGAACTTCTCCCGGGCCAAATTAAAGAGACCTTCAACCTCTTCGCTGGAGCGCTTAAAGTTCTCTATGCTGAAGGCAAAGGTGGTCACCTCACGGACGCCAATGTCCAGGCACCAGCGAAGGCAATCTGCCAGCTTAGCAAAGCCGCGGGAATGGCCCTCAATCTTATCAATCTGCTGCGATCGTGCGAACCGTCGATTGCCGTCCATAACAAAGGCTACGTGGTGTGGAATGTGGCCACAGGCGCGTAGCACCTGCATCGTAGTGGATTCCAGCCAGGTGTATTGATAGTCGGAGACCCACGACATTGCGATAAGCTTTCCTTACGTGGACGAAATAGTAGTCAAAAGGATTTGATTGTTTTGTGTTGTGGGTGTCTTGTGATACGGGTCCACAATGTGACCAGATTATCATGGTTGCGCGTATCTGGTCATACCAAAATAAGGACTGTCAACTTGGCGCGATAACCGATTAGAGATGGAACTTCTCACAAATGTCTATCGTTGAGACGTACCATCCCTGGCACTTTGACAGCTACGACAGCCTTCTTTTTTGACATCCGGTTCACGCAAGTGGTTCGTTCGAAAATTAAGCCCCCTAATTTTTACCGAAAAACGCCGATTTCGAGCCCATTTGAGACGTAATAAAGTGTCCCCTCAAACAGGCTCGATGGCCGTTATAAATAATCTTACAGAAATTCTCCCATACCCGCTTTTTTTTAATGTTTTTTGTTGTGTTTGTGCGCATGCATTTGTTTTGTTTGTGACCGTGGCGATATGTGGATTAAATGTGAATATTCTTTGTCATTCCCGCAGTTTCTGATCCGCAAACTACCCTACAATGGCTCCCAGGAAGGCTAAAGTTCAGAAGGAAGAGGTCCAGGTCCAGCTGGGACCCCAGGTTCGCGACGGTGAGATTGTCTTCGGCGTGGCCCACATCTACGCCAGCTTCAACGACACCTTCGTCCATGTTACGGATCTGTCTGGTCGTGAGACCATTGCCCGTGTCACTGGTGGCATGAAGGTCAAGGCCGATCGTGATGAGGCTTCGCCCTACGCCGCTATGTTGGCTGCTCAGGTGGGTTTTTACGCGTCCCCCGGATAAGCCGGATGTTAATGTGTTTCCTGTTCTATCTAGGATGTGGCTGAGAAGTGCAAGACTCTGGGCATCACCGCTCTGCACATCAAACTGCGTGCCACCGGTGGTAACAAGACCAAGACCCCCGGACCCGGTGCCCAGTCCGCTCTGCGTGCTCTGGCCCGTTCTTCCATGAAGATCGGACGCATCGAGGATGTGACTCCCATCCCATCCGACTCCACCCGCAGGAAGGGCGGTCGCCGTGGTCGTCGTCTGTAAATGGAATCCAGTGCTTTCGATCTGCTGGACTCTGTTAACAATTCAAAATGTTGCATTTGTGTATATGACCATAAACATGTTTGGCTTTTGTGCATGAATTCACTTTAATAAACCAGGAAAAGATGATGTAAATGCTACTTGATATTCTGATCATGTTATTTAAGAATGTATTATGGGATAATGTATCTTCCTTTCAAGTTTAAAGGATTTTTTAAATGTTTACAAAAATTCTTGATTAGCGGCGAGACGTTGCCACCATATGCAACGATACATCGGCGAAAATTGAGCCGATTAATCGATATTATCAACCCTGATACCGATATCTATCGAACAGCTGTGGATTTTGCCTTCTTTTTTCGCATCCGTTCACGCAATTGGTTGGTTTATTTTTGATTCCTAATATTTTTGTGAAAATAACATGATTTGCGAATTTATCGCCACAAACGAAACTATGAAACATATATTGCATTTTATTGAGAATAAAATAATGTTTATAAAATAACGAATACTCTATTAAAAGACGCGGATGCCAATGAATTATTTTGTGTTTATGTGGTGGATCTCCGTTGTGTGTGTTGTTGTTGTTTTGATGAGCCGGTGTTAATGAATCTACGTTCTCTATCTGTCATTAGTTGCTGATCGACAAACAGACGCTGCAGAATGGCTCCCAGGAAGGCTAAAGTTCAGAAGGAGGAGGTCCAGGTTCAGCTGGGACCCCAGGTTCGCGATGGAGAGGTCGTCTTCGGAGTGGCTCACATCTATGCCAGCTTCAACGACACTTTCGTCCATGTTACGGATCTGTCGGGCCGTGAAACTATTGCCCGTGTCACCGGCGGAATGAAGGTCAAGGCCGATCGTGATGAGGCTTCGCCCTACGCCGCTATGTTGGCCGCCCAGGTAAACCGGCATCCCGTATCCACCCTTTAAGAATCATTTACTAAATCTTGTTTCCCTCCTTAGGACGTGGCTGAGAAGTGCAAGACTCTGGGAATCACCGCTTTGAACATTAAGCTCCGTGCCACCGGTGGTAACAAGACCAAGACCCCCGGACCCGGTGCCCAGTCCGCCCTCCGCGCTCTGGCCCGTTCCTCCATGAAGATCGGTCGCATCGAAGATGTGACCCCCATTCCCTCTGACTCCACCCGCAGGAAGGGAGGCCGTCGTGGTCGTCGTCTGTAAATTTGGGTTGAAGGAGCCGGCGCTCTATTTTTCTTTTTCCCAAGCTGCGTTAATTTTTTTTGTACTATCTAAAATACAGCATAAATGTAGAAATAAAGAATGGAAATGAAGAGTGCAACCAGAGTGGTGCCATAGTGGGCATTGGGGGAAAGTTGGGCACTTTGGGGCTCTGTAAACAGTCTGGTATCATTCAAGAGTTATCGATAGTTATTCTTCTTCTTGCTGAAAATATGTTTTGATCAGTGTTGGATAACGAGAGTGCTGGTTAACGACCAGCAGAAGCAGCTCTCGCATAGCATTGCAGATAAAATTCATATACACATACAAGCGAACGGATTCGTGGAGCAAAAATATCAAAATTGGCAGGAATAAAAGCGTTCGCCAGCAATCAGGCAGCGGCGATACGGGTGCCATTGGACACGGGAGCTCCGTAGAAGAGCCGCGGGCGCCACAAATTGGTGCATAGTGTGCTAAAATAGGCGTAATTGGCAAGTTCAATGCACGAATAATATATTTGGCCACACTTGTGTATGTGTGTTGGTGTGACGGCTTATTTGCAAATGAAACAGCAACAAGAAACGGCGTGAAAAGTGACCCAGAAGCCAACCGATTCTGCATCCACATCCGCACACGGATGTGGATATAGGAGATATATCCTATTGGATATAGTTGGCCGTGCAATCAACGTCAAACTAGAGCGAAGAGCAGGAAGCGAGGTGTGTGGAAGTAGAAGTGGAGATGTAGAAGCGGCTCCAACGAGTGTGAGTCAAAGTCAAGTGTTTGGTTTTCAGTTGTCGGTTTTCCGTGTGGTATTGTGAAATTTCTCGTCTCCTCCGTAATCGGTACTCCGTGCTCCACATTCTGTCGCAGCAGAGACGCCACTTCAACGACAAAATCTTTCAATTTGACCCAACTCGACCATAAAACCCAAAAAAAAATCTGAGTGAGGCAGCCAAACAACAAGAAATCAAAGCAGAAAAATCAGTAAGAGCACCAGCAGCAGCAGCAGGCAGCACCAGCACCACCACCAGCACCACCACCAGCTAAAAACTTGTTTCGAAAAAGAGAATAATCGAAGAAGAATCGTAAAGAAGCGTGCTCCTAGCGGCCGCGACGTCACCAAAATACCAAACAACCGAACAACAGCCGCCGCAACAGCACCATCATGGACGAGGATAACAACCTGTCCAATGCGGACATCAGCATCGAGGATGTGGAGCAGGTGCGCGAGACAATGATGGTTCAGGACGATGAGGAGGATGACGAGGCCTCCGATGTCGATCTCTCCTCGGTAGCCTATGTGCTTCCGGCCAATGTTACCATAAGCACGGGATCATCGGGCACAGCAACCACCGGTGCTGGGAGCTCGCCACGCGCCAGTGCCGGAGGTAGCGCTGCTGGGCCAGGGAACTCGCCCTCGCCATTTCACGACTGGGACTCTAGCGCCGATCCGCCGCCGCCGGTACCGGACCGGGCAGGTGGTGGTGGTGGATCGGGTGCAGCGAGCAGCACAGGAGGCAGTGGCAGCAATAATTCAGGTGCCGCGACAGGCGATTCCGGGGCCAAGCCCAGATTCTTCTTTGGCACGTCCTCGTTCAGCTTGCGCAGCCGCAAGGAGGTGGCCGCTTTAATCAACACGGAATGCTGCCGTGGCAGCCCCACACCGGACCTGGACTCGATCATGGACACGCTGTTCAATCCGGGTACGCCCATTGACAATCCGGACAACATCGAGTGGATACGATGGCTTATCGCCGGCGGACGCACGCCGCAGGAGTTTGTCAAAATCGGTAAGTTTTTTCCACCAGCACCAGCTGATCGCAAGTCCGTTGCCCCTGAATCGGCAGCATGTGTGCGTGCGCCTACCTGTGCGCCTTGCGGGGCCCTATAAGGGAGCGAGAGCGCGCCAGGTGAGAGAGAGCGAGCGAAGAGGGGAGGGTGAGCAAGGTGCAAGGCAGCGTGAAGAGCAGAGCAGAGTAGAGTGCACCACCATGGCAACAGCAATCAAGCGCGTTCACTAACACAGCCCCACCGCCTCGCACACACAGATACGGGAGTCAACTTTAGCCCAATTTAATCTCGACCGCTCATCTATTTGCAATGCTCTTCTGCTATTTTTTTTTTTTTGCATAGTATTTTATGATTACGCTTATTTTTTGTGCCAGGCTGCGTATGTCGCCAAAGTCTGTTTTATCGTTCATGGGTTGGCGTTCGTTCCCGTTTTGTCCCACTTGTCAGGCACGCCCCCCGCCCCAGCCCCCCAAAGAAGACACGCACACGCACACGCATAGGCACACGCACAGTGGCCTGCAAGTTGCATCTTGTGGCTGTGTCAGCTGTTTTGCAGTTTTGCAGTTTGCGTAATAAATGGTCAAATCAAACACTTGTGCTAGTTACTGGCACTAGATTGCTCCATTAGTCCATTAGTTGGGGCAGAACAATGCAAAGTTCAATCTTAAAATATAAATCATTAAAATCTCTCTTTAAAAAAAAAGAGTACAAATGGGATAAAGAACATTAGTTTCGGGCAAACTGCAACTGCAAACTGCAGACCTACTGCATGCAACTGCATGAAACTGCATGACCAAAGTTTATTGACCGTCATTGTTGTTGATTTGACAAAGTTGACGGCACAACACGCCACCTCTCACGCACAGTGGGCGTTATCATATATTTTATTCATTTTATTGTTTGCAATCGAGATGCCGATATGGCCCATGGTACTTATTCTTTAATCGGCAATTGACCGACCGTTATGTTATTAGGCATTAGTGTGTGCGAGAGTGAGTGAGTGAGTGCACCTTTTTCCGTCTTTCCGTTCCCATGCATCCACCTTTTCGCCTCCCTCCCTCCCACTGCCTCAGCTGGTCGCCTGCGCTCACCTGCTGACAACACGAACCTTGCCCGAGAACGGGCTCTCAGTTAGAAAGAGATGGCCGGAGAGGAAGAGCGGGCCAGAGATATATAGTTGCCAACTAGTCTGTTGATCGATCGCCATTTACAAAAATTGTCAATCAACTTTTCGCTGCAAACAACAGGGTTGTCGTTGTTGTTGCCATTGTTTATTGTTTGTTGCTACTCGAGTTTGTTGTTGTTGCTTCTTGGTTCCTTCCGCATGCGGTCGCCGTTGACCTTTTTAGCCGCATTTTCAGCCGCCAAAACGCCCAAAAGCCAAACAACCAAACAACCAAACAGCCAAAAACAAAGACAGCGAGTCACGCAACAAGCGAAATTAACTAAGCAATGAGTGCATCGTTTTATTTTTGGAACTCGAATCAAATCAATACCAATAGCCATAGCCATAGCAATGGCATTGCGGCTAATTCGGCTCACCTCGATACCATTTTGATTCACCTCGAAAAGATATATAGGATTCCTCTATTGTGGCTATAGCTTTGTGATTATTTTAAGCCTAAAACTGAATAGCTGGGTGGATGGGATAACCACACTATATCACATTAATTGAAATATCCTTCTTCCTTTTCCTATTCCAGTGCGCAGCTATGACAACCATGCCAAATGCGGTCTCGTTTGGGTGCCACATGTGGTGGCGTACCGATGCCGCACCTGCGGCATATCGCCCTGCATGTCCATTTGCCGGGACTGCTTCAAGAAGGGCAACCACGCGAACCATGACTTCAACATGTTCCTGTCACAGGCGGGCGGTGCCTGCGACTGCGGGGACACGTCCGTGATGAAGGCCGAGGGCTTCTGCAGCGACCACGGGATCAACAATCGAGTCAATCGCGACCCAGTGCCCAACAACCTACTGGCCGTGGCGGAGGCCATCATGCCCAAGCTGCTGTTTCGCCTGCTGCAGCACTTCCGCGAGCACAGCGACACCTCGCTGCAGGTGCACGCAAAGACCTCCTACTCGTGCGAGGAGTTCGCCAACATGCTGATCGATCTGAACAATATGGGCGAGATCATGCGCAAGGTGATGACGCGCACGCTGATCAACCCAGAGGTCTACGCCTACTTCATGGAGGCGCCCTGCCTGGATACCCGCAACGGCCGCTTCCTGCGCGCCAATCGCGAGAAGTACGAGGATGCGGTCAACAGATTCCCCAATCCAGAGCCGCCGGACGAGTACAGGGATCTGCCGGCGCTGGGCGACAAGCTGGTCCACACCACGCTGCTGGAAGAGTTCATTTTCTGGACCTTCAAGTTTGAGTTTCCACAGACGCTGGTCTGCTTCCTGCTAAACATGCTGCCCGATCAGGACTACAAGGAGCACCTGACCCGGACATTTGTGATGCACTACAGCCGCATTCCGTCCGTGCTGGAAATGTCGCGCGATCCGGACACACTGAGCAACCGGGTGGTGCACATGAGCGTCCAGCTGTTCTCCAACGAGAGCCTCGCCCTCAAGATGGTCAACGAGCTGTCGTTGCTGCATGTGATGATCATCAGTCTGAAGCTGATGATGTCCAAGATACTCATACAGAATACCCTGCACGGTAAGTCTACCCCCGATCTCTTCTCCTCTCGTCTCTTATCAGCTTTATATTTCTTTGCCCAACAGATCCTCTCAAGAACTTCCACTTCGTCATCGACTGCACGCGCCAGGTGATGAAGGATCACTGCTACTGGCCTCTGGTATCCGACTTCAACAATGTTCTTTCGCACGAATCGGTGGCCTTGGTCTTCCTGCGGGACGATAACCTGATCGATATGTGGTTCCAGTTCCTGCAGATGCTCCAGGGCATGAACGTGAACCTCCGCGAAACTGCCTCCCATGTGGAGTTCGAGCCGAACAGCTACTATGCGGCCTTCTCGTGCGAACTGGAGGCCAGCGCCTATCCCATGTGGTCCATCATCTCCCACTTGCAGGACGGAACGCACGCCAATTTGGCCAAGAAGATCATCAACTACTGCGTGACCACTCTGCACGAGTGGCTAGACTCGATTTACTTTATGGAGGCCCGGCTGTCGATGGTGAGGCTGTTCCCGCGCGTTCAAGTGAATCCCATTAAAGGATGTGCTTTTCTGTTACAGGAGGAGATGATGCAAGCCTCGTTCCACTTTCCACTGCACCGCTACCTGGCGGCGTTCGTCTGCCAGGCGGTGACCAAAATGGGAATCAGTCTGAGCGAGGTGCTGCCCTCGCGTCCATACCTGCTGCCCCTGCTGATGATTCATCCACTGCGTGTCCAGGTGAGTGCTCCATGATCCCTCCCTCTACTATGATTAAGCAGTCAGGTTTCCGATTCAGATTCTCTTTATTCTCTTTTTATGGCTAAATTTCAATATAATTTGAGTTAGATTCGATTCTTGCCGATTCTGCGTCCCTTCCGACTCGTCCGTCCTCCCTCGATTTAGACCGACTCAGCACCGATCTGGCTTAGACTACGCGACAGTATTTGCAAGTGTTTGGATAGAGTAGTGTGTAAAACTAAGAAAGCTATGAAATATGCTGCTGCTGTGCCCTCGCCTCCCCTAGGGCTTCTTCCTGGGCACCTGCACGTGCGGCATAAAGTCGTAGGTGATGATCTTGGGTCCCAGGAAGCCTCCGTAGCCGTTGCGTCCCTTGTAGTAGATGCCAATGCCCGACAGGGGCACTGGGGGATTCGAGACGACGTCCTGAATGTCGATGAACGGCACTGTGCTCTGGGCCGCGTCCTTGTCCAGGCCGGTGTTGGTGAAGTCGATGTACTGGTTGTGGCGCGACTGCACCAGCGACGTGGCAATGGTTCTTGTGGGCAGGTCTGCGTTCGCCAAGCGTAGCTTCTCCCTGAAAAGGACGAGCAAGTTTTAAAATTACGAAGTAGAGTGTTTCTCGACTGGAGACTTACCGGCGTGCTCCACCGCTGACGTCGGTGTTGTCGTTGGACTTCCAATAGCTGTTGAGCTCCGGCTGGATGAGCTTGCCAGTCTTGAAGTCGAACTCTGTGTAGTAGGCCTCCAGGTTGAGATGGGCTCCCACCAGTCGGAACCTCACGCCAGTCACCACAAAGCTGTTGTCGTCCGTGTTCACATCATCCAAGTCGATGGAGCGACTCTCGTAGCTCAGCGTATGGTAGTCGACACCCTTCTTGACGTCGCGATCGAAGATGTTGTACTTCTCCACCGGCTTCCACTCCAAGCTGCTCTGATTGATGACGCCGCGCGGCATAAGCTCACCCTCCTGGATCTGCAGGTGGAAGATTCGGTTCGACTTGACCAGTCGCAGGCCAGTCACAACTCTGAAAGAGAAGGTTCCATTGTGGATTTGGTATCCCTGAAATTCGAGCACTACCCACCTGTTCTTCTTCACATCGGCAATGGAGTCGCGAAGGTTGAAGAAGCGATCCGACTTCAGGCCCTGCTCGTCGCACAGACAGAAGCAGTAGCTGCAGTGCCACAGAATATACCGCCACCAGCTGTCCACCTTGGTGGTGCCGCGATGGCACTTGCTTCTCTGTCCCAGCACACGTCCGTTCTCGTATTCAATGTACTCGTACCGGCGGGTGCTGTTTTGTGGCGAGGGGCACACCCACATGTCGGAGTCGATGAACTGGCAGTTGTAGATGCGTCCGGAGCAGCGTTGCTGGCGGGCGCAGTACTTCTCCTTGAAGCAGCCCTCGGCGCGAGTGGACTGATAGTAGTCACACGTCTCCCGGCACGTCTCCTCGTTGTTCAGATCCACTTCATTCTCAACATACCCCTGAAAACGTACAGCAATGGTTATATAGAGTCTCAGAGGGCATGTAAAAAGCTCCCACCTGCAGCAGACGGGTCACCTCGTCGTAGGTAACCTTCGGAATGTGCTTGGGAGGATCACAACGATACACGATACGATCGGCCCGCAGCATCACATCCTTGAGGAGCTTCAGCGTGCGCTCTGTCCGTTTCTCGTAGTCGTTCCGCATCAGTTCCGCTTCCTGGGTGTAGTTGCCCTTGCCGTAGACCCGCAACATCATCCACGAGAACTCCATCATGGTGTAGGCCTTGAGCTCGGTGAGGGCGATGTCCGCGTAGAGGGAGTACACGAACTGCTGGGCCGACTGCTGCGTGTTGCAAATCTGATCTTTGGACACCTGCAAGCGGAAATTAACACAAATGTCATCAATATCCAGTTATCCGATATCGCGATTAGGCGTCCAGCTGTCATGTGGCATTCCTGCAACCTCAGGCTGGCCATTTAGCCATAATTAGCCATCGCATCTGGCCGTTAAAATCGCTGACATGCCCCAAAAGCTATATAACTCGCTAACTAATAATGGTTCGCGGGTGGCAGATTGGCGCAAATTGTGCTTAGAAAATGGAATTTTTTGAATTCTAAACCTATAGAAAATATTACTAATGTCACGTTTCTCAAAAGCCTGGGAAACAGAGACACTAATAGACTCTAAAGCCCCACTGATGGTTAGGAACTAACAAGCATGGCCCGGTAGTAGAGCGTCTGCTGGACCATCACTCGTTCAATTTCGTCCAGGATGCGTGGCATCGAGATGGTCTTGTCGTTTCGCAGGACTTCGCGCGCCAGGTCCAGAACAGCCAGTTCATCCAGCTGGGCGCTGTTGTTCTGCTTCACAAAAACGTCCTGTTCAAGAGAGAAGAGGAAGGAGATTTTCAGCAAGTCTTCAAAGGACGTCTGACTGCGGGAAGAATACCTTGTAGGCTTCAAACAGCTTACTGATGTAGACCAGATCCCTTTCCAGCAGGGACCACTCGTAGTGGTTGAGGGGCTTATAGCGATTCTCCTCAAAGGTTCGATCCATTAGGGGACGTCCATTGAAGTCCCTATGGGAGTCGAATATTTTGCGCAACTGCGTCTCCTTGTTGTTCTGGCTATTGGCCGTCTTATCCAGATATTCCCACAGCGACTGCTCGAGGGCGATGTATTCGGTGCGCATGGCGTCGACCATGAGCTGGGGGATGCGGGTGTGCGACGAGGAATGCCTCTGCATCCAGCCATCAGCTGAGACCGCCGTGGCGCAAATCATCATCCAGCAAACCAACGAAATCGCAACCGAACTAACGATAGGCGGCGCCATGTTGGCTTCGCGGCAGTGGTCGCTGTTCCGTCCGATAAGATATATCCGCTGTTGGATTTTGAATAAAAGGGGGTTTCTCAGCCTTGGGAGGTCTGCTGCTCTTCCTCTTCGCAGTGGTTGGCCTGCTTCTCCCGATGCACTGCTTGCACTTGATGAACTAAAGCTTCAACTGCTTGATGGACAATGAATCCCCGTTACTTTAGGACTCGTCCACATCAACTCAGTTTCGTGAATAAATAATTTGCGATTTACTTTAATTCGCGTTCCCTGTGGTTCAGTTTTCAGTATGAGATGTTGTTGTTCTGAGAGCTGTTCAGCTACTGTGATTTTCAGTTTCTGATTTTTTTTCAAAGCGCTCCGCGCTCAGCTCCGCTCGTTATTATTTACGGATGTGTGAGTGTGGATGTCGTTGTCGTCGTCGTGTACGTTTACAAAAAATGGGGGATGGGGGGGAAAAAAAGCTGAAATAAAATCGCTGCTGAAGCTCTTTTTCAGGCCCCGTTGTTGTTGTTGTTGTTTTTGTTCTTTCTTGTGAAGCGTAAACATTCATACAAAAACAAACACAGACAAAATTGTGGGTCTTGTCTGTGTGTGTCCGACTCATGAGTGGGAGAGCGCGAACTGAGCGAATATGTTTGATTATTTGGCCATCCAGACTTGATTAATACCCTGCACAATATTGGCGATCATTTTTGCGCAGGCTTCCCAGCCGATATTCGATAACTAGAAAGTTGCCTGCCCGCTCTCGGCACGTCTTCCGCTTCATTTGTATGCCAAACAGCTGTGCGGTGGTTCTCCCCACCTGCATTCCGTCTTTCTCTCTCTCCAGCTCCTGCTCTCTTTCTGCCTGCGATGCTCAAACAAAGAGTTCGACTACGCTGCTCCCCTTTTCCCCTTTTTGTTTTTTTTTTTTTTTTGAATCTCCGCATGGGGGCGGCAATGCTGCAGTGCCTTCTCTACTGTTTGTTTTGTTGTTCTTGTCGTTTTTTTGTTTTTTGTTCAACAAGATTCGCAGTCTTTTGTTGACACACGACCTTTGACCTCACGCAAACAGGCACCGTTTTTGCATAAAGTGCGAGCTTTGTTTATGCTTAATTTATTTAAAGAGCGAGCGCGAGCGTGAGCCCGTTCCCAAAATCTTTCCACAAGACGCTAATGATGGGCGATGACTAATACCCTGGAAGCGCGACTTTCTTTTGCCGAAGAATCCGTAGTGACGAAGCGAAGACAACCGGAAAGTCGAGTAGTCCGACCTAAAGCCTTTCATTAGGCCCGAATCAAGTGTGTGCATGATTCATCCGAATTATACATACGATTTAGCCGGGCATCATGGCATGCAGGAAGCACAATTCGCAATTCGCGAAACTGGCACCCCATTCATGATCTCCACGGCGGTGCTACAGTGAAAGCCCCCTAGTGCAAATATAGCCTATCAGGAAGGGTGATGACTGTTTAACCTCATTGCTGGACGCAAACCCCTCCCACAAGTAACATTAGGATGGTATTACCTCATAGGCGGTGGCCAGTTGGGAGAGCAAGTTGCTGCTGCTGCTGCTGCCGGAGGAGCTGTTCCCCCTGTCCTCGTTTCCAAAGAGAATAATGTGCAGACGATCCATCAGGTGGTGGACGGAATGGGCGTTCGGAGAGACGGTCCACTCGGCAAACGTGATCAGGGTGGACATCTCGAGCTTGTCCTTGTAGGCCTCGTACTTCTGCATCTGCTGGTAGCGGGACGAGATCCTGTTGATCGTGTCCGCGATGTCGTTCATCTTGGCCATGATGGGGGCATTGTTGTGCATGTAGCTGGTCACAGAGTCGATGGCCATGGCCACATACTCGGCATGCTGAGGTTATAAGTGGTGATGAGTACACTTGGGCACTTGGGTCTTTCCCAGAGTATGGGAACTGACTCACCTGCTCTTCGGTCTGGTCGATTTGCCGACTGACTTCCTTCAGCCGCTGCAGCACCTTCTTTTGCTTTTCCCGCATCAGCGGAAAATCAATGTTGGCCGCCAGGGGGGAGGACTGGACAATGTCCCAGGCCTTGAGCACACCGGAGGTGACCTCCTTGACCACATGAATGATGTCCAGTACGTCCTCGATCAGGGCGGAGGTGGGCGTGGGCTGGTGGCAGACCAGCAGCAGCAGGCTGGTCATCAAAAGGGGAAGTCCCAGTTTCGGATCCATGGCGGCGAGTGTGGCGCGTGTGTGTGGCGACGAGTTGAATTATTGTTGGATTGTTTGTTTAGTTTCGGGTTACTTTAAATATTATTAGTAAATTTCGCCTGTCGGAGAATTGTTTACAGCCAAACACACACCCACACGCACGCAACTGCGCCCGCTGAAAATCGAAACACGAATGCCGAATGCCGCCGCCAGCAAACAGAGAACGAGTGTCGAGTTCAGTTCAGTTTCTGGTGGCTTGGAATGGGTCGCTGGCAATGGAGGAGAGCAGAGCTGGGGAGAGCAGATGCTGGTAATGGTGATGGTGGTGATGGTGCGAGTGGATTAAAAGTGTCTCGCTTCCGCTCCTCTCGCTCATCGCAATAAAAACCTCCCAGATGTGCGTTGCTTGCAGACATAGCCTGTCTCCATCACTCACACACACACAAACATGGAGACATACTCTCCACGGTAACTGTTTCTTTGTTGGGTTCTTTTAGTTACATGTCTAGGTGTCTGTGGGTGGGAGCGGGAGAGCAGGTGAGAGTCGGAGCATAGGTTGAAGCAGGTATACACTATGTGCGTGGCTCAGGGTTGAAACTCAGAGCCAGTTTCGATAGACGGGGTCATTAGTCATCGATTAATCTTGCGCTCCGAGTTTCAAATTTAAAGTTTCGCACTTGTTCCATTTCAGAGCTTCTTCTACGAGATCCTGGCCGGAAAATGGGTTCGCAATGGACTGCAAATCAAGGGCCAGGCCATGACCTACATCCAGGCCAACTTCTGCAACTCGATGGCCGACATGGACCTGTTCTTCCTGCAGATCTGCGCCACCAACCTGCCGCAGTACTTCTTCCTGCAGAACACCATCGAGCTGTTCGATGTGGGCCAGTGGCTGGAGACCGCGCCCCTCAAGCAGCCCCAGAAAGCCGAGCAGTCCTCAATGCTGGAGGGATTCCTCACGTTCCTGGCCACTCTGGTCACGAGCCGTACCAACCTGGGCAACGATGAGGCCACCCAGTGCATCATTGAGATTAGTGCTTTGTTGGCCACCGAGAACAAGACCCACTCACAGCTCCTTGAACTGATGCCGGAGCGATCCGGAAATGTGCACACCAAGAACTTCGAGATCTTCCTCAAGAAGCTCTCCGTGTATAAGGCTCCGTCCAGTGGGAGTGAGAACCTGGAGCAGGGACTCTTCACGCCCATTGACGAGGTGTGGGAGAAGCACTACGATCCGCTCCACGTCCTGCTGCGGGCGGTGCATCGCCGGGACTTCCAGTCGTCGCTAGATCGCTTCACCAACTATGTCAAGTCCAAGGAAAAGATGCCGGCCAGCGGTAATCTGTGGCCGCCATTCCGCCTGCCGCAGGCTTTGCCAGCCAACAGCTCGTTCAGCGATCCCTGCCGGATCCTCAACTCTCGTGTCTTCCACTCCACCATACTGTCGATCTTCTTCCGGGCCGTGCACACGCGCGACGTGTCCGAGCACCTTCTGGCCCTGGCTGTGTTCCTTCTGGAGATCGCCGTCGAGACCAGCAATGACGTGGGCTCCGGTCAGGCTGGAGGCGGTTGTGGTAGTGGCGCTGGTGGCAGCGGAGATCGCGCTCCCTCATCTGTGGCCGCTGCCGTAGTGGAATCGTCGTCCAGCGGATCAGGCTATCACGGCTATGGACCCGGACGGCAGGAGCCGCCGAAGCTCTTCCAGTGCTATCCCACGGATAATCTGAGCTGCAATCTGCGCCACGTTGTGAAGAAGGTGTCGCTCAAGTCACGTGATCCTCAGGTGATTACCTCCAGCTACCGTTCGAATCCCTTCTACTCGGACCTCGACTACGACGTGGAAACCGATCCGGATCACGCGCTGCGCATGATCGGTCACGTTGATTCGGATGCCGATGAAGCCACCGGCGGTGTAGTTATCGGCGGTGCCATTGGCTCCGCTGGGATGGCAGGAGCGGGTGCCCTGAGCCGCAGGAACGTGTCCCAGGCTCTCGTGCCTCTGCGAGTGCCAGGCATGGAAGTGGCCCTGCCGCCGGATCTCTCAGTTGTGGCCGAAACCGGTGTAGTGATTCGCCAGGACAGCAACGATGACGAGATGCTGCGCGACGGTGATCATGCCATGGACATGAGTCCAGCGGCTGCCCTGGACTTCCACTTTCCCCTGCAACAGATCACGCTGCCCGAGAGTGGCATGGAGGTGGCCATACGCCGGGACCTTCTTCTGGCGGAGACCAATAACGTGGGCGTTGGCGGAGGGCCCGGAGTGGGTGCTGGCGGCGGAGTGGGTAACGCTTCTGTCGGCAATCCCTCCAACGAGATGTTCTCCCCCACCACGCCCACCGGCAGCGGCATGCTGTTACCCTTCCAGCGGGTCCAGCCTGTGGCCGTGCCCAGCAACATGGACATAGTCCCATCGAATGCCCTGGGAGCCGGATCCAGTTTCACATCGGGCGTGAGTGGCTCCGGCGGCGGTCGCCGCATGAACTACGAGTCGGGCGGCGCCCGAAAGAGGTCCGTAGACATAGCTATCGGCGGCGTAGGCAACAAGGACGAACTACATCTCGACGAGAGCATCCTATCGCTGCTGCTCAAGCTTCATTCCCAACTCAGCGGAACCCTCGATAGCTTCTCGCTCAGCGACGGCGAGGATCGGGCATCTGGCGGAGACGACGCCATGGATGTGGACTGTATGGACGTGGCCAGCACCTCGTCGGCGGCTGCCGAGAGCACTGCCTTGGCCGAAAGGGGTCGTGGTGGCAGCAGCGGCAGGAGCGCCACTCGCAATTACAAGGACATCCATGTGTCGTCCTCGAGAATCGGCGACGGGCCGTTTTTCATTGGGAATCTGCTGCGCAAGATAGCCAAACGGGACGAGCTGTGCGCCCAAAACATTGACGATATCCGTGCGCGGCTGTGGCCCAACCAGCGCGAGAAGCAGGCAGAGGCCAAGGCGCGCGAGACCAAGGAGAAGGAGGAGCGCCGGAAGCGCGCCCGCGAACGCCAGCAAAAGATGATGCAGGACTTTGCCAACAAGCAGAAACAGTTCATGCAATCGGCGGCGGCCGCGGCCGGCAGCACGACCTACGGACTGGAGGACGACGAGGACGAGGACCTGTACGAGGAGCAGCCGCGCGAGAAGGAGTACGATTGCATTATTTGTAATTGCACCACGCCCAGTACCGAATCGAACCCGATCGGACTGGTGGTCTTGGTGGAGTCCAGTGGCATTGTCGGCCATCGACGCCGCATTGCCGAGCGTCTGCCCCTGCCGCTGAACGTGGAGGACGAGTACCGACTGGCGCACACTACTCGCCTGGCGGCAGAGTTCGGACGCCGCACCGAACTGCTCAGCCTTAAGTTTGGGGACGAGTCCTGGTATCTGTCCAACAATATGGCCTACGACAATGGAGTGCATGTGCAGTCGTGCGGGCACCACGTGCATCTCAGCTGCCTGGAGGCGTACCTGAAGACGCTGTACACCACCCAGCGTCAGCCTGTGCAGGATCGTGGTGAATTCTACTGCCCGGTGTGCCGGCAGCTATCCAACTCAGTGCTGCCGCTCAGTCCGCAGCTGGACAGGCCCACGCATCTTGTCCGAAGCGGGAACCAGCCTTTCGAGCGCCTCGTGGCCGACCTCACAGACTTAATCAAAGAGAACGAAACAATGCCGGTAAGTTACAATCAAGGATTCATCTTGCAGCACATTCCTCACTTTTGCATCCACTTCCAGCAGGCAACAAAGCTCACGGAGGCCATGGGCCACGCCATGGAGGTGATGACCAATATTTCGCAGCGCAAAGTCAAGTGCGCTTCCATCACCTTCCGCAAGCTGTTCGTCTTTGTGACCTCCATCGCCCGCACCAACCTGGAGGCGGAGATCATTCAGCGCGGCGGCTCGCTCTGCTCCGCCAACGCCACCAGATACAAGCCCAAACGTGATTGCATTGTGCCGCTGCTGCATGTGCTGTCGGTGCACGTGCGCGTCCTGGTGGAGTGGCCGCTGTGGAGCAGCTGGGCCTCGTTGGCGGGTCTGCCCGTGAGCGATACAGAGCCCCTGCCGGCGCACTGCGTTGAGCTGATACCCAGCCTGCTTGCCGATCCCATAGCACTGCTGCTCAAGTTCATTCTGCTGGCACCGCTACACCTGGACCAGGGTGAGTGACTTAACGATTCTAGGCAGGATGTGCAGCTTAACAAATTGCTTTTCTTTGCAGATTATTTCACCTGCATGGTGAAGGTGATGTACAACTTGCTCTACTACCAAATCGTAGTCCAGCTTTGCGTCACCCTCACGGATCTCGAGGTCGATCATATTCTGGCCACTTATGGCGGCAGTGCGAGCGATAGTGCTGCCTCGGAAACATCGCCGGAATCGGGACGCCGTCGTGTAGGTGGCCAGCGCCCGGAGAACTCCTCGCAGCTGGGCAAGGCCATGACCTTGGTCCTGGAACAGACAAACAAGCTAGTCCACTTGCGACGTGATAGCATACCTAGCACGAGTAGCTCAGCTGCAGCTGCTAGTTCTTCCTCTTCCGCTGCCGGAGCAGGAGCATGCTCATCCTCTTCCGCTTCCGCCACCGCCTCTGCCTCCGAGGTGAACCTCAAGTCAATGGAGCTGCAGCTCCAATCGCTTTGCCTGCCCTTTTTGCGCGTGGCTGCTCTGCTGCGTCAGCATTTGTACCGCCACGAGATGCCGGAGATATCGGCGCCGGGTCTGGAGTTTGTGCGCCTGGTCTACTACCTGGAACTGGTCACAGACTCCATGGACTGGGACTGCTTCAACGCCAGCAAGGGTCTGTGCTTCATACCGGGCACCGAGCGCACGCTGCCGCAGTTCTGGTGCCAGCAGCTAATGGATGTTCGCCCGCCGACGGACACCACACGGGAGCTAGTGCTCATTAACCAGCATTCTCTGTGGCAGCAGCCGCGTCTCCTGGAGCTGCCGCGCGAGTACGAGCGCCTGTTTACGGTAAGTGTTTCTCTTGTATTTATTTTGAATTATATAATTTCTGATTCGCTTTTTGTAGTACTACCACGAACGGCCCTGCCTTAACTGCTACAAAGTACCCAAGGAGAGCTCCATCTGCCTGCTGTGCGGGACGATTGTGTGCTTGAAGCAGAACTGCTGTGCGGAGAACGATTGCTGCGAGGCGGTGCGGGTAAGTTGACCGTCCTCTTCTTAACCTCTTGCATTTAATGATAACCTTCTGTTACCAAAATAAAGCACACGCTGTCTTGCGGTGGAGGCATCGGTATTTTCCTGGTGGTCACCTCAACCTACATCATCGTGATCCGCGGACGCCGGGCCTGCCTGTGGGGCTCCCTCTATCTGGACGACTTTGACGAAGAGGATCGCGATCTCAAGTAAGCCAACCGCTTCATTTGTTAGAAACAAGATTAATATTGTAATCGGTTAACAGGCGCGGCAAACCCTTGTATCTGAGCCAGGACCGTTTCAATCTGCTCGAGTCGCAGTGGCTGTCGCATAAGTTTGCCCACACAAAACACACCTGGGTGTTCCATCGGGATCTCTTGTGAAATATGGAAGATCTACTGCGCAGCATACAGGAGCTAGTTGGCCAGATCTGAGGGAATACACACTGCAACGATGTCGTTTTGGTAGCCGCTCCTGCCACTCTCCCACTCACCGCCTAGTCGAGTCCGAACACACACCACAACCACCACTAGCCACATGATCCGAGATTCGCAAACATTAACCACATACAGGCTCTCTCACTCCCAGTTTTTTTTTGGTTTTTCATGAATCGGGTTTCGTTAAATGGATCTAAAAGGTTCTAGTTTCCCATCCTCAAGCCAAGCTTAGCATTGCTTAAGCCAAGGATAGGAATCGCATTGAAGAAACCTAACCTAACCCGCATCCGTATGTAGCTACAGGCCTTTCTCTTTCGTCGCAATAGTTGATATTAAAATATGTATAAGGTCGCGAAACGGAAAGACCGAGGTGGAAACTGAAAGAAATAAAAATTATATTATTTGATGAGAGAGCTTGACAAACAAAATTTAAAGCAAGATACATGGAAGATATGGAAAAGACACACGGCACACGCATGTGAATCTCTCGAGAAACAGAAAGAAACGAAAATGTTTTACAAGAAATTTAGTACGACTTATAAATAATATACATATATAATATAACAAAAAATATATATATTTCAACCACAAAAACTGGCGTGGCTTGTTGGACAAAGACGTTAAAACTAAAAAAACAAAACAAAACCGGAACAGAGAATTAAAAAATGTTTAAGCACCGCGCGGCTCTCTCTAAATGCGTTCTACCCAAACTATGTCTTAAGTCCTTAACATTATAGGTTTTTTTTTTTTAGGGAAACAAATCGTAAAAAAAAGATAAAGCGAAAAGCGTCTAACAAATTATATAACAACTGTCTTCTTTGGCCTCATGAGTTTGTGCATGTAAAAAATGAAAACTAAATCAAGTTAAAACACAATTATATAGTTAATATATATATAAACACATAAATATATATAAATACCGTATAAATACTAAAGTTAATGCAAAAGAATACAAAATAAACGAAAAGCGAATTGTGAATTGCGTAGAAATTAGTTTGCATACACATAATAAATACCTTATACGATTATACGATTAAGATCGGACGCTAAAGTACGAGGTGGGGCTTCAAAATCGGATTCTATTTATTTCCGTTTCCTGTTTAATCGATCGGTTTTAAATTTTTTGTTAATCTGGGGGTCCTGGGAGCCGAGTGAAAAAGAAAAAAAAGAAAAACAAAAATCTAGCAATATATCTTAAGGTTTCCATTTAAATGGTTGTTTGTCTATTTTTTATTAGCAATTGGTAGTTGGACATGCCCGCCCCCGGTCCTTGGTCCCGGTCCCGGTTCCGGTCCCGGTCCCGGTCCCACCTCTGCATTTCTCTTTAAATTTGCTGCACATTGTAAATACACAGAGAGAAGTTAATTATATATATATATATATATATTATATTTTAAATCACATTTTCTTCACTTTTTTTTAATAGTTATTAAAATGTAGAGACTTCGGTTGGCGTCCTAGAATAACAAATACAAATAAATAACTAATGGCAGACGAGATTTACGAGATTAAATGCACAGATACACACACACTCTAGATACAGATACCAGATACAATACTACACAGATAAAGTTAGACCCCCCCCTATCCCAAAACTATAAAAATGTGACAAGTCCGGAAAATACTAAATAAAATTGCAACAAATTATAATTCATATTATGAAATGATAATGAAATTATTCAAGTTGTTATTCAATATCACGGTATTTCACAGTGGATCTGGCCGCAGGTGGAGCAGCATATGGTGCTTGCTTGGTTCGGGTCACCAATGATGCATGCCTCCTTCTTGACGCGGCGCAGAGCCCGCTTCTTGAAGCGCTGCATCTTCTCCTCGTGCTCATTCAGCGAAACGGACATCTGCTCGCGGATCTCGTCGCGACGCTGGATCATGTCGCGGAACTGTTCGCAGGCGCGATCATAGTTGAAACCCTGGCCGAGCTCTCCCTTGAGGACCAAGTCCACGCCGCTAGTGCGCATCTCGTTTAGAATTTTTCCAATGGCGTCGATGTCGCCGTCCACGTCGAAGGTCTTGACTGGCGGCGCCGTGACCACCTCGTTTCGCCAGTTCTTGGGAGCCAGACGCTCCACAAACTCCAACGTGCACGGCTGTGACGGTGGCGGTGGAGTCGGCGGTACCCTTAGGCAGTGCGAACATCCCCTAATATCGTAATCGTTCTCCTCCTCGCTCTCCTCGATTTCCATGTCCAACACTTCATAACAATCGCCATCCACTCCAAAACTAGGAGTTGTCGCTCCAATGGTTAGAGATGATAGAGCCGGGCCCAAAGCGGCGGCAGCCGCAGCAGCTGTGGCGGACCCTTTTTCAGGAGAAACATTCCCGAGTTTGTGTAGCTGGTCGAGCATCTGATGGTTGCCTGGGATCAAGGTGATCCCAGTCATGCAGCGGCCCACAAACAGGGGCGGAGTCAGGGCGGCGTTGTGCTGCGGCTGGTTAGAGCCCAGTTCCAGGGGCCCCTCGAAGACAGAGTTCGGCAAGGCGCCCGGTGCAAAGACGCAGCCGGCGTCGTAGCCGCATGGCAGGTACTTCGGCGGCAAGAAGACCGGGAGCATCATGCCCTCGCAGTTGGGGAAGACATCGGGCGGCAACTCGAAACGCGGACAATTAGCCTCGCCTTCATCGCCAAAGGTGGCGTAGGCCACCATCGGAACGTGAGGATGCAAGACCGTCGACAGGACCACCATAGCTAAGCGGCAGGAACGGGTTGTCACCAGGACCAACTCACTCATGTCCGGGACATACATGTGGAACTGAGGTGGGCTCTGGCTCTTAAGATACTCGGCCATACCTGGCATGTTGGACGGTTGGTGGACGATCTGGGCCACAGCAATATCGTGGCGTTCCAAGCGCTTGTTCATATCAGATGTGTTGGTGCCGCCACTCAAGTCATTGAAGCGGATCGGCAGCACCCGTCCAACGACAGAGGTGAGACCTGGCTGGCGCCGACGCGGCTCAGCCACGACGCAGCGACGGCCCACGAACAGGGGCGGGGTCTGGCCCTTCTGCTGCGTCCCCATCAGGCCGATGGGATAGAATTTGCGCGACAATACGCCGCCGCCAAAGACGCCGCCAGCATCGAATCCGGCCGGCAGGAGCTGGCGCGGCAAATAGGTGACCTTGCCGAGGGGAGCGTGGGCCGGAAACATGGAGCGCGGCAAGTCGAAGCCGACGCACTTCTCGTCCTGGAACTCAATGGCGGCGCCAGCATCATGCTGATGGAGTTTCAAGGACAATGGAATCAGCACAAAGCGATCGCTGTGGTCGAGGAGGGCGCGCGGCACTTGGAGACCCTTCAAGTTGGGCAAGTACTTGGGGCGACGGTTGACGACGGTGCGGTCCTCGCCATTGTTATCGGTCTTGTTGCGACGGTTACGACGCTCCTGGTGTGGGACAGGAACACGTGATTGCGACGGAGGACCGCCTAAAATCATGCAATTCGGTTAAAATTCAAAAAATTACTATCTTTTTTTTTTTTTGCCAAAAGCCAAATTCATCTCAAAACTAAACTACTACTAAAATACGCAGGCGACTAAAATGCAAAAATTTACTACTACTTTTCATATCTATATAGTTTGAATTATATATTCAAATTATAACTAAAAGGCATAACTATATATAAAAGGCATAAATATATAAAAATATATATATTATAGAAAACATATTAAATATGAAAAGTACATACATATATGCAAGAAAGCATTGTTCAAGAATTTTTGAATATTTTTTTTCCAGCCGAGAATATTACTTCTAAATTGCAAAATGACTAACAAACCAAACAAGTTTAGTTATTAATAATTTGTTATCAAAAATTTGAAATAATTTACCACAACAAATTGCGTGAAATATAACATGATGCCAGTCTCTGGGTAAAGTGTAAAAATTTCGAAGCAATCGTGGTAAACCTGATGGAAAGAGATTAACAAATCGGTTAGTGGTGTATTATCGCCCATAAGACAATGGTAGTTATATATATGGATGCTAGGCATATATATCAAATCGAATAACTAGTAGCATACCTTGGGAATTCTTATTCTTATTCATCTTGAATATCCGCCAGTGTTCGTTCGGTGGTTCCAATCTTATTCGATGGATACCAGCGGCGGTATAAACAATTCACGTTCGCGGTAGCAAAAGCGGTAGGAATAGAAAAGTTTAAAATACAACTCGTTGATTGATTACTTTGAAAATTTAAGTTGAATAAATTTCGAAAACAAGAAATATACATACGATCTATACGATGGGAAGGCCGTTCGAGTTGTGAGGATTTTTCACACTGAGACCCTAACGTTCAAAATTGACAGTTTTGCTAGAAAACGAATGGCCACCCAGATCGAAAGATTCTGGCCCAAAAACACAGCAAATAAAATAATAACCGATTGTCAACAAAATAAATGGGAACCCTGTAGATTTAAATCAAAATTCAGAATCAATGCAAAAATTGATTTGATAACTTCTTTTTCGGAAAAAAAATCTCATTCGTTTAAAAAAAAAAACAAAAAATTCGTTTTGTGAAAAAAAATCTAGAACTTTTTAAGATGGAGGAACGCCTAAGGCAGACTTATCAGCGACATTGCCTGGAACGCGAACGGATTACCAGACGGCTTAAACGGCTGACCGGAAAACGATCCATCGACCTCCTCTGCAACGACTCAACCGCGCCACCCATCGCCATTACCATGGGCGAGCTAAGCACCCCGAGCCGGATGAAGGGTGGCCAACAAATGGGAAGCTTGGAGACGCCTTTACCACAACTACGGAAGGTTCCCCCCAACCCACCACCAAAGCCATGTTCCAGTCCCATTGCGGTGTCGAGGAAGCGTTCGCCAAGGAAGGCGTCCAGACATGTGGCCAAGACTACTCCAGATCTGCTCGTCGTTGGCCATCAGCTGCCGATGCATGCTCCACCCCAGAGTCGCCGTATCCCTCTTTCCCGGCAGCCCGTCGACGATTATGTATACTTTTATCCGGGTCACTATCCGGAGATGATCTACTGGCATCCCCAGGGTATGCTGTTCCATCCAGAGCAGCCGCATCAGATCCTGGTGAAGGACGAGGAGCCTCCTCGGGTGGTGGATAAACGATTTATCGCCGAGCTGGTGGACGGGCTTATCTTGGAAGTCCAAGAGTCTACAGCAAGAAAGCTCAATTAGGCATGAATTATTACTCTGAAATACAAAAAATCAAAATGTCACATATTATACAAATATCCAATCAATTAAAATCTTAATGGAATGGTTTGCGTTTTGCTCTCCAGGTACTCTAGATTCTTCTCGCGAGTAAATGTCCAGCGAACCCAAAAGCGACTTTCCTCATTCAAAACATTGCTTACATATGGTTTTTTAATTTTTCGAAATTTTTCCAAGGGGTTCGCCCACAAAATTGTGGGTTTTCCTGATTTCCCCACTTTTGGTCCTTCCGATGGCCATAGCTCTGCCAATTTGTATCCGATCAGGAAATCAAGTACCATTTAGTAATCAGCGAACTTAAAAGCGACTTTCCTTATTCAAAATATTGCTTAAATCTCGTTTTTAAATTTTTCGAATTTTTTCCTAGGGGTACCCCTGCAAAATTGTGGGTTTTCCTGATTTCCCCACTTTTGGTCCTTCCGATGGCCATAGCTCTGCCAATTCGTATCCGATCAGGAAATAGAGTACCATTTAGTAATCAGGGAACTCAGAAGCGACTTTCCTCATTCAAAATATTGCTTAAATATCGTTTTTAAATTTTTCGAATTTTTTCCTAGGTGTACCCCTGCAAAATTGTGGGTTTTCCTGATTTCCCCACTTTTGCTCCTTCCGATGACCATAGCTCTGCCAATTTGTATCCGATCAGGAAATCAAGTACCATTTAGTAATCAGCGAACCCAAAAGCGACTTTCCTTATTCAAAACATTGCCTAAAAATAGTTTTTTAATTTTTCGAAATTTTTCCAGGGGTCCGCCTACAAAATTGTGGGTTTTCTTGATTTCCCCACTTTTGGTCTTTCCGATGGCCATAGCTCTGCCAATTTGTATCCGATCAGGAAATCAAGTACCATTTAGTAATCAGCGAACCCAAAAGCGACTTTCCTCATTCAAAACATTGCCTAAATGGCGTTTTTTAATTTTTCGAAATTTTTCCAAGGGTTTCGCCCACAAAATTGTGGGTTTTCCTGATTTCCCCACTTTTGGTCCTTCCGATGGCCATAGCTCTGCCAATTTGTATCCGATCAGGAAATCAAGTACCATTTAGTAATCAGCGAACTTAAAAGCGACTTTCCTTATTCAAAATATTGCTTAAATCTCGTTTTTAAATTTTTCGAATTTTTCCTAGGGGTACCCCTGCAAAATTGTGGGTTTTCCTGATTTCCCCACTTTTGGTCCTTCCGATGGCCATAGCTCTGCCAATTCGTATCCGATCAGGAAATAGAGTACCATTTAGTAATCAGCGAACTCAGAAGCGACTTTCCTCATTCAAAATATTGCTTAAATCTCGTTTTTAAATTTTTCGAATTTTTTCCTAGGGGTACCCCTGCAAAATTGTGGGTTTTCCTGATTTCCCCACTTTTGGTCCTTCCGATGGCCATAGCTCTGCCAATTCGTATCCGATCAGGAAATAGAGTACCATTTAGTAATCAGCGAACTCAGAAGCGACTTTCCTCATTCAAAATATTGCTTAAATCTCGTTTTTAAATTTTTCGAATTTTTTGCTAGGGGTACCCCTGCAAAATTGTGGGTTTTCCTGTTTTCCCCACTTTTGGTCCTTCCGATGGCCATAGCTCTGCCAAATCGTATCCGATCAGGAAATAGAGTACCATTTAGTAATCAGCGAACTCAGAAGCGACTTTCCTTATTCAAAATATTGCTTAAATCTCGTTTTTAAATTTTTCCAATTTTTTCCTAGGAATACCCCTACAAAATTGTGGGTTTTCCTGATTTCCCCACTTTTGGTCCTTCCGATGGCCATAGCTCTGCCAATTCGTATCCGATCAGGAAATAGAGTACCATTTAGTAATCAGGGAACTCAGAAGCGACTTTCCTCATTCAAAATATTGCTTAAATATCGTTTTTAAATTTTTCGAATTTTTTCCTAGGGGTACCCCTACAAAATTGTGAGTTTTCCTGATTTCCCCATTTTTGGTCCTTCCGATGGCCATAGCTCTGCCAATTCGTATCCGATCAGGAAATAGAGTACCATTTAGTAATCAGCGAACTCAGAAGCGACTTTCCTCATTCAAAATATTGCTTAAATCTCGTTTTTAAATTTTTCGAATTTTTTCCTAGGGGTACCCCTGCAAAATTGTGGGTTTTCCTGTTTTCCCCACTTTTGCTCCTTCCGATGGCCATAGCTCTGCCAAATCGTATCCGATCAGGAAATAGAGTACCATTTAGTAATCAGCGAACTCAGAAGCGACTTTCCTTATTCAAAATATTGCTTAAATCTCGTTTTTAAATTTTTCCAATTTTTTCCTAGGGGTACCCCTACAAAATTGTGGGTTTTCCTGATTTCCCCACTTTTGCTCCTTCCGATGACCATAGCTCTGCCAATTTGTATCCGATCAGGAAATCAAGTACCATTTAGTAATCAGCGAACTTAAAAGCGACTTTCCTTATTCAAAATATTGCTTAAATCTCGTTTTTAAATTTTTCGAATTTTTTCCTAGGGGTACCCCTGCAAAATTGTGGGTTTTCCTGATTTCCCCACTTTTGGTCCTTCCGATGGCCATAGCTCTGCCAATTCGTATCCGATCAGGAAATAGAGTACCATTTAGTAATCAGGGAACTCAGAAGCGACTTTCCTCATTCAAAATATTGCCTAAAAATAATTTTTTAATTTTTCGAAATTTTTCCAAGGGGTTCGCCCACAAAATTGTGGGTTTTCCTGATTTCCCCACTTTTGGTCCTTCCGATGGCCATAGCTCTGCCAATTTGTATCCGATCAGGAAATCAAGTACCATTTAGTAATCAGCGAACTTAAAAGCGACTTTCCTTATTCAAAATATTGCTTAAATCTCGTTTTTAAATTTTTCGAATTTTTTCCTAGGGGTACCCCTGCAAAATTGTGGGTTTTCCTGATTTCCCCACTTTTGGTCCTTCCGATGGCCATAGCTCTGCCAATTCGTATCCGATCAGGAAATAGAGTACCATTTAGTAATCAGGGAACTCAGAAGCGACTTTCCTCATTCAAAATATTGCTTAAATATCGTTTTTAAATTTTTCGAATTTTTTCCTAGGGGTACCCCTACAAAATTGTGGGTTTTCCTGATTTCCCCACTTTTGGTCCTTCCGATGGCCATAGCTCTGCCAATTCGTATCCGATCAGGAAATAGAGTACCATTTAGTAATCAGCGAACTCAGAAGCGACTTTCCTCATTCAAAATATTGCTTAAATCTCGTTTTTGAAAATTTTCGAATTTTTTCCTAGGGGTACCCCTGCAAAATTGTGGGTTTTCCTGATTTCCCCACTTTTGCTCCTTCCGATGGCCATAGCTCTGCCAATTCGTATTCGATCAGGAAATAGAGTACCATTTAGTAATCAGCGAACTCAGAAGCGACTTTCCTCATTCAAAATATTGCTTAAATCTCGTTTTTAAATTTTTCGAATTTTTTCCTAGGGGTACCCCTACAAAATTGTGGGTTTTCCTGATTTCCCCACTTTTGGTCCTTCCGATGGCCATAGCTCTGCCAATTCGTATCCGATCAGGAAATAGAGTACCATTTAGTAATCAGCGAACTCAGAAGCGACTTTCCTCATTCAAAATATTGCTTAAATCTCGTTTTTAAATTTTTCGAATTTTTCCTAGGGGTACCCCTGCAAAATTGTGGGTTTTCCTGTTTTCCCCACTTTTGCTCCTTCCGATGGCCATAGCTCTGCCAAATCGTATCCGATCAGGAAATAGAGTACCATTTAGTAATCAGCGAACTCCGAAGCGATTTTCCTTATTCAAAATATTGCTTAAATCTCGTTTTTAAATTTTTCGAATTTTTTCCTAGGGGTACCCCTACAAAATTGTGGGTTTTCCTGATTTCCCCACTTTTGGTCCTTCCGATGGCCATAGCTCTGCCAATTCGTATCCGATCAGGAAATAGAGTACCATTTAGTAATCAGCGAACTCAGAAGCGACTTTCCTCATTCAAAATATTGCTTAAATCTCGTTTTTAAATTTTTCGAATTTTTTCCTAGGGGTACCCCTGCAAAATTGTGGGTTTTCCTGTTTTCCCCACTTTTGCTCCTTCCGATGGCCATAGCTCTGCCAAATCGTATCCGATCAGGAAATAGAGTACCATTTAGTAATCAGCGAACTCAGAAGCGACTTTCCTTATTCAAAATATTGCTTAAATCTCGTTTTTAAATTTTTCCAATTTTTTCCTAGGGGTACCCCTACAAAATTGTGGGTTTTCCTGATTTCCCCACTTTTGCTCCTTCCGATGACCATAGCTCTGCCAATTTGTATCCGATCAGGAAATCAAGTACCATTTAGTAATCAGCGAACTTAAAAGCGACTTTCCTTATTCAAAATATTGCTTAAATCTCGTTTTTAAATTTTTCGAATTTTTTCCTAGGGGTACCCCTGCAAAATTGTGGGTTTTCCTGATTTCCCCACTTTTGGTCCTTCCGATGGCCATAGCTCTGCCAATTCGTATCCGATCAGGAAATAGAGTACCATTTAGTAATCAGGGAACTCAGAAGCGACTTTCCTCATTCAAAATATTGCCTAAAAATAATTTTTTAATTTTTCGAAATTTTTCCAAGGGGTTCGCCCACAAAATTGTGGGTTTTCCTGATTTCCCCACTTTTGGTCCTTCCGATGGCCATAGCTCTGCCAATTTGTATCCGATCAGGAAATCAAGTACCATTTAGTAATCAGCGAACTTAAAAGCGACTTTCCTTATTCAAAATATTGCTTAAATCTCGTTTTTAAATTTTTCGAATTTTTTCCTAGGGGTACCCCTGCAAAATTGTGGGTTTTCCTGATTTCCCCACTTTTGGTCCTTCCGATGGCCATAGCTCTGCCAATTCGTATCCGATCAGGAAATAGAGTACCATTTAGTAATCAGGGAACTCAGAAGCGACTTTCCTCATTCAAAATATTGCTTAAATATCGTTTTTAAATTTTTCGAATTTTTTCCTAGGGGTACCCCTACAAAATTGTGGGTTTTCCTGATTTCCCCACTTTTGGTCCTTCCGATGGCCATAGCTCTGCCAATTCGTATCCGATCAGGAAATAGAGTACCATTTAGTAATCAGCGAACT